ATTTTATAATATGATGTTGAAACTTGAATTTATACCTATTTTGAAATAAGTAGTTATATTAAATTTTACATATTTATAATATTTTTATAATGTAGATATATATTTTTTACTAATTTAATAGTTGGTTAAATATCTTACGATACGGTACGATAACGATACGATACGAGACATGGAGAAAAACGATACGAGATATTTTTACGATCCGATAACCATGGTCTACACATACAACTCTAAGCTTGAATTATTTTGCATTCTATCTTTCCCTCTTTCTGTAACTACGGATCTATGGCTAGGACTACTGGAACTTATACTTAACAGTTGTTATTATCGGCCATCTATTTTTTATATTCTAACAATAATAAGATGTTTTTAAAAAAAAATTCAAAAGATATTCAAAATTTTGGAAAAACTTATGTTAGTAAAAATGTTAACTTTAAAATTAAGAGTTTTTTTTTTATTTATTAAACTTCTACAATAAGTAAATATATAACAAAGTATATGAAATAAGAATTATAAAAAGTAGAAATAGTACGGAGAGATTTATAAATTTGTGTTTGGAGTTTTTGAGTTTTTACTTCTTTTATATATTAGTTTAATATTAAAAAAATAAGAATCACAATTAAATATTTATATTAAAAAAGTTGGTTGGCCGATATTACCTGACCAACCGATGTTTGAGTAAACTGAAACCGACCGACCTATTTATATATGGATAGGTTAAAATTACCGGTTCGACAACAAAATTATCGACCGAAAAAAATTATCGAACGCCGATAAAACCGATCCATGCCCAACCCTATCTACCAGACCTTTATGATTTTATTTACTATGAATTATTTAATGCAGTTAATTTTGGTGCAGTAATTGATTTTCTTGTAAATTCTTATTTATTAGCAAATTGTTGGAAATACCATCAGTACCATAGTAGAGCACTAGATATATATGGCTACTGATTTTAGCTTATTGCAACTTTTCCCCTTGTTGGGCGGCTACTCTTCGCTGTTGCTGATTTTACATCAAGTTTTTTGTGTGTATATAATATTGCAGGGTTGGGCCTAAGTTGCTTTTATCGTTGTTTTTTGTATGTATAATTTATTATAAATAATAGTTAATCAATCAACTCATATAGTTGAGCAAATAATTTCCAACGTTGTTTTTAATTTACTCAAAAATCAAAACATATACCAAATAATACTAATCAAATAGAGAAGCCCTTGTCAATTCTATGCGAACAGAACAAACCCTCTGTGATATAAATACAAATAAGTTTAAAAAAAAATATAAATACTCAGTGGTTCAATAAGTTTTAAAAAATATAAATACTCACCGATTCAATACTTCCAAGTTCCAAACATTTATTATTAATTATTATATTCAACAATCGAAAATATAAAGTATTGAATTAATCTAAATAAATGCATGACTTAATACAAACTCACTTATGATATTAAAATCAATAGTGTGAAAAATACGAATGAAGAATAAAATAAGATGTTTATAAAAAAAATGATTATAACTCATTTTAATTAACTTAAATTGATTAACCTCAATTATTGAAAAAAACTTATTAAAATAATTGATTATTTTATCATAAAAATAGTAAAATATAATTCTTAAAAATTGTAAGATTTGAATCGATTAAGCTCAAGTTCTTTCGATCCGTAAATTTTATTCAAGCATTTAAATTAATTAAACTCAACTAATTGACAATGACGTATTAATCAAATTAGTGGAGTGCTATAATATGATAGTGGTGATACTATATATATAGCGTTTTATTTAAACATTTATAATTTGTTAAGGACACTAAAATAACTATATCATTTATAGATAGATATGTAATTGATACGGCATATCATTTTCTTCTTATACTGAACAAGAAACTGAGTTCGAAGCATGTTCGAAACAACAATCTTAGATAAACAGATGGAGAAAACGAACAACAATTGAATGGATATTCTGTTTTAATGTGGAATTGAAGAAACGAAAATGGATCGTTTAAATTATTGTAAAATTGTGATGAAGGAAAGCAAGATAATTAGTAGTAGGTACCAATACTCGGCGATTTGGGTTTGGCATTATATTCAATGGCAGTCTCCAAACATCAATTCCGGCAATATATCGGACAATATTTCCTCAAGCTTCGGCTCGGCTTCCAATGGGATTCACTTTCTTTTGCCTTTTTACCCCTTCCAGTATTCCTCCGTCCGCGGGGAAGCTGAATATTATATTGCAATATAATTTGTATGTAGATGGAGGAGGATGAGAAAGCAAAATGCAGCAACAAGAAATATATAGGGCAAATCTGTGGGGACAAAAATGACATTTCACTAATGGGATCAAATAATAAAAAATAAAAAAAATAAAAATTAAGAAAAAGACATGAGGCCAAAAGTTTACAGAATCCTTTGAGCTAATTTTTGCTATTTTAAATGTTGCTTTTATTTGGGTTGCAATACAAATACGGGAGTAATAAGTGAAACGAAAGGCATGATATATATATGACAAGTATACAGATCAAATCTCTCTCTCTCTCTCTCTGTGTTCTAGTTTACAAATCAATCGAAAAATCCATAAAAATACAGAAGATAATTGTTTACGATATCACAAACAAGGAAGATTAGGTAGTTAATTATTTTCACGATTTGACGATGGATCGGAAGATTAGAAAGTACATAACCCTTGTGGTCCATATATATGATAGATATTAATGCACTATGTCTATATATATAAACCAAGTTGTACGTATAATTTCTCTCCCACTATTATATTATTTTCTCAATTCCATCCAAATTGTTTTGCTTGCTTTTCGTAATTAGTTGACGGCGGCGGAGAACACTCAATTTGTGTCTTCCTTCCCTCTCTTTTTATGCTGGTAATTATTAGTAGCTTTATTTAGACTATATATAATTATTTGATTTTTTTTTTCTTCTTTCTGAATTTTATCTGAAATTTGTTTATATTTGCTTCCATTGTCTCAGAAACGAATAAAAACAAGCTTGTTGTCATCTCTTATAACCTCCTTTGCTGACACTTGAGTTGTCGAGGCCCGTTGCGTTCATTGCCGACATTGATTAGCGGTTACGAACTAGTCGAAAAGTTTTTCAAACAACAAGAGGTACGTAACCTTTTTTTCTTCTTTTTCCTTCACTAAATAATGTCCATTAATAATTTTCATGAGAAATAAAATTCTTGTGAGTCAATGCTTGTGTCAATGTAGTATTTTGTATGCTAATAATGTGTTGATTTATTTATAAAATATTATTATAATAATTGGTTTGCTGCATGTGTGGGTTTATTCACTTATTTTATAAAGGGGCAAAATTCATTTCCATCCCTGTCTTTTTACACTATATTCAAATTAGTCCTCGTCTTTTTCAATTCACATCAATTTCATCCCTTAGTTATTCTTTAAAGAATAAATTCTGATTAAAAAATGGATTTGAATAAAATACCCCTGAATCCTACAATTAATTTATTTGAGTAGAATCTTATAAATTTTCATTAAATTAGTTGTGTCGAATATTTTTTATTATTTATTTTGCCAAATACTTTATATATATATTTAGTTCACTCAATATTATATATTTAACTAAATTTATTTCTTTACAATGAGATTGAACACCTCGACATATTCGTTTAAATTAAGTTTTTGTTTAGAAATAAGTAACTTAATAATTACGATCTTGAAACTAAATCTATATTACATTTCAAAACTTAATAATTATGATTTTATTTATGGCGAATAGTAAACATATTGTTTAAGGGTATTTTGGTCATACTGTATTATGTTAACATAAATATATTGCCAAAACGTGATCAAGGGATGAAACTGAAATTAATTGCAAACACAAGGACTAATTTGATTTTGAAGGGAAAATTCAGGGGTCAAAAAGAATTTTACCCTAGTATAAAGGGATATTATGTATGTGTTTGGTAGAAAAGGGTGGTGGAAAATGCGCGTATCTGTTCCGTTTTTGCTTTTGTTTTGTTCTTTTTCTTTTTTCTTTTTTGAGTAACGCATATCTGTTCCGTTTTACTACTTTATTGGTTTTTCCTTTTTCTTTATTTATTTTTATTTTTACAGAAAAATGCTAAAAAAGTCCTATTTAAAAATTTCTATTACCAACAAATTCCAAAATTTATTATTGTATCTAAAAAGTTCAAAAATTAAAATATTAATACTAATTTAGCCAATTAGTAATTTTCAACTAATCCTATTAAACTATTTTATTTTAAGGACTAGATTATTCTTCAATATGTATAATAGATCATCTTCCACTTTTATATTACTTGTGATTTCGGACAATAATATTTATTGGTATTATATATTACAATATGCTAATTTTGATAATGAATTAATTATTTTTTTATGTTGTTATCCTTATTACCATTGAATTATTTCACACTAAATTTCATTAACCAATAAAGTAATTTACATGGATAGAATTAGGGAGATGATTAATTTTGTTATATTTATCATGTATTATATATCATATTATTTGATAATGAATTAATTTTTTTCTTTTTTTTATATTGTTATCCTTATTACCCTTAAATTATTTCACACTAAACTTCATTAACCAATAAAATAAGTTACATAGAGAAAATTAGAGAGATTCGTGATTAATTTGTTAAAATTATTTTCTTAAAATTCACTCATATTTATGTATCCTTTTTAATATTCAAGTTGAAGCCTGAGTGTCAATTAATTTAAAAGAGAATTAGCGATTCGTAATAATAAATCATGATTACATCTTTTTTTAATCGAAAATAATTAATTTAGAATGTATGTTATCTAAGAAAAATAGTAGTTATGTTTCTTTATTATGAAAAAACAAAAGAAAAGAAAGAAAGACAGAAAAGAGTAGTTCATATTTTTTTCCGAATTGTTGGATTTTGACTTTTTTTTTTTTTTTTTTCTTTTTTTTGTTTTTGTTTTTGTTTTGCTGAAAGGGTAGAGATACTCGAAGCTGTTACTATCTATTTTCCATATGGAAATGATTCATCCATGTGTTTCAGCAGCATCAACTACTGATAATGATGATAATAATACGTCACCCTCTTTAATCGACATCCATGTGGACGTCGAGGAATTTTCCCCTATGCCGGTTCCTTCGTTAACACAAAGTAGTGTTGACTTTGATGGTGCCCCCAACTTGTCTTCCTTCTCCCTTTCTCAATATTCTTCCATTATTGCATTTCCACCATCTGAAATCAACATGACACAACCATCAAACAACAACCACCACCCGAGATTTCGGCCGACCGTCGTCCTGGCAGCAATAACGGGCTTCATAATAAGTATCATAATAACAACTACACTGTTGGGGGCCTTCCTGCTTGTCATTAACAAGAAAGGAAAAACGAATAGAAATATTCCTCTTGAGTGCGAAATAATCATTTCAGTTTCAAAGGATGGACGTAAGTCCAACTTTACAACTGTGACTGATGCGGTGAAAGCATCCCCAAATTACAGCCAGCTCAGAGTGTGCATCCACATCGGAGAAGGCGAATACAACGAAATAGTCACGATTGGTCACGAAAAAACCAATCTCGTTTTGATTGGAGAAGGAATTGGGAAAACAACTCTATCTTCAAATGCATCCAACAAATATGGATCATCGGCCGCTGCAACATTAAGTAATGCATGCACACTCTTATCAACTTTAGTACTTCACTCTTACGTACACATATCAACTTTATTAATCAATATATTATGCGCAGGAGTAATCGGGGGTGAGTTCTTGGCTCAAGACATGACCATCAGAAATGGAGGACTACATAATGGAGTTGCGGTTGATAGCTCGGGCCGAGCTTCGGTCTTTTTCAGATGTAAACTACAGGGAGCCGCTGATGTGACTCTGAGTATAGATGGGGATCTACATTTCTACCGCGAATGCCATTTTTATGGTAAAAAGAATTTGGTTGTGGGATTGGCTCGTGCATTCTTCCAGAAATGCCAGTTTTACCTTGAGAAATCACATCCACAAGGAAAGATTGTGTTCTTCAGTCAATCTTCTCATATTTCAGCATACAAATTCGGCTTCGTATTTCACCTTTGTGAATTTTACGTCCTCAATAAATCAGAAACAGAAGTAGAAACAGCTTTCATAGGGAGTTCGTTGGGAAATTATACATTTTACGTAATTATGGAGTCATACTTGGATCCAACTGTAACTGGATACTTCCTTGGTACACCTCCGAACGTTACCTACTATGCCACTTTTCGCAACGTAGGACCCGGTGCAACAAAGGCGAATGTACCACAATTTGTCCATGTACTCGGAAGTGTGGAGGCTGCTTCCCATTATTCCTTGAGACGGTTTCTACTCGGAGATAATTGGATAACCAAAGCGGTTGACTACGATTTAGATATAGTGGAATGACACTTTGAAATTGATCTCTTACATTTATTTATTATCCTGTAAAAGTAGATGAATAATATATTACATTTAATGTTCTCATCTCGTCTCTTCATATATATATATATATATATATATATATATATATATATATATATGAAGTAAAATAAAATAGCACCTGTTTGTATGTGAAATTCTCTTATAAAACTTCCTTCTTAATTCGATTCTTCAACGGAGGAAAAATATTGTTTCTTATGTTGTGGTAAGAAGACGATGAAAAATTTGTAATTCGAATATGCTTTTGAACAACTTACAAAGTCCACCGATTGAGCAACTCGGTGGTGATCTTAAGGTAGTTATTGGATTTAATGCCGCTTAATGCAATGCTAGCTTGCCAATGCACGTATAAAATTTTCACTCAATTTTTTTTTATTTAGATAAAATATTAATTTAAAAAATAAATTGGATATGCATATATCTTCATATATTCTTCAATTATTTCGCGTTGTATGGAAATCAAAGTTTGATTCGAACAATTTATTGAACAAGCTGAAGCTTATAAGTTCGATGTTATGCGCCACTAGGGTCTAACTTATCTGAAATAATTACAATGATTTCACCGAGCTGCGCCAAGAGATAATTCTCCCTTGTGAGTGGGGATCGAGTCTTGAACATATTTTCACAAGAAATAGCTTCGTTATTCACACGCCCTCCGTCTAAATTAAGTAGAAGGTATTGTCCACTCTCTAACTCTCCTGGTGCTGCTGTCAGAGAATCAATAGCTTTTTCATAGTATGTAGCGCATGCCGCGAAATTCGCTTTGCGTCGTGGATCCTTTTCCAACCGCGAGAGGGACTGAATCTTGGCTGCAGTAGCATTGGCACTCCGGGACGCATAGGTTATTGCAATGCTCGCCAACCCGGTTAAGTTTGCATTCTGTGAATGAGGATCCGATGTTAGAATGCTCCTGCAAAAAGCCTTGTCCGTATCCTCGGAACAAACAAGTTCCACATAATTAGTACTACCTGCAGACACTGCATTGATAATTAATAGCATATTCAAGAACAAGAGGCACGCAAATGAAAAGCAATTGCACCAAAGAAAACCGGCCATTTTTTTTTTCATTATGATGTCCTAAACCTCACAATTGTGACAGATTAGTTATTCAACAATTTTATGTCTTCTTCTTGCAATATGGTATGCTATGGTTTAGAGAGTCTTATATATAGACATTTTTATGATCTTGATTACAACAAAATAGTTGTTAATTATGGTCATAAATCTTCATAAATTAGAATTGTAGATTGTCTCATGTAGGAAGAGTAAATTTCATGCGTTCATTCGTTGTTCACTGTTTGCTTTTTGTATGTATGGTAACTATATTTTGTAAATTGTAATCTTTATTTTCCATTTATTCTCTCTTCATGACTTAGTTTTGTTTTTTATAAGGTAAACATATTACGTAATCTTTATTTCTTTAGTGCAATTTGCTAGAAGTCCCTGGGATTGAATTTTATTAATAAAAATGACCAGCTTATTTTTTTGATTTTTCTAAAAGTCCTCCACATATTCATATTACAACAATAGCCCAAAAAAAATATTTGGTAAAAGTCCATGAATAAAACACGCCGAATTTTCAAAAGTTCCCCGTTCTAAGATTTTTGCCGTGAATTTTGACACTCATCTAATTTGAATTAAAAAAACGCAAATCATGAAGGTTATAACTCTATTTGTTGGTGTTAAAATATATATTATATCATTTATATTATATTCATTATCATGGGATTCGATTAGATATGTTAATATATTATATCCATAATTATGGGATTTGATTCGAACGTAATATAGGGATCGGATTTGATTAGGTTTCCTTGTATAGCTTGTTATTTTGTGTATATATACCAATACCTCTATTGAGACGAATACACATTGTTTTCATCTCATTACATTTCGTAACATGGCATTAGATCCAACCACAAACCAAATAAAATTTTTGGTTTTTCTATCGTGACATCCATAACTGGCATTGTGTTTATATTATGTAACCACTGTCGCCCTATCATGAACATCGACGTAGTGGTTTTAGCATTATTTAAAAAAATAAAAAAAATAATAATTCTTTTTCAATAGATCTTTCCGATGTCACTCAACCAATCGACGTAGTGGTCATAGAGTTATTTAAAAAAAAAAAATTCAATACCTCTTTCCAATGTCACTCAACCAATTCCCACAATTCTCGATTGAAAAAATAGTCCTTGTGGATCCAAGGAATGCGTGATTTTCTCAAAGGGCGTAAATTATGGCAGATCGTTATTGGAGATATCACTCAAATTCATTGAAATCATATTCTCGACCTCTATCACTTCTAATTTATTTTATTTCCGAATTGATTTTCAACCTCATAGAGATAGTTTTTAAAATTCTCAAAGACGTGGATTTTATGTTTCGTCAAATAAACATATGTTTATTTGGAGAAATCATCAATAAAATTGATGAAAGAACGATTTCCTCCACGAGCTAAAATTTCCCCCTAGTTCACAAACATCCGTGTGAATTAATTCTAACAATTTGGTTTGTCTTACTACACTGAGATGAAGCTTCTTTGTAATTTTAGCTTTACTACAAGCTTCAGATTTTTCAATTTTTTTTAATCATTAGGATTAATCTTAAACTACTCATGATTCCCACATAACGACTATTAATGTGACATAAACGAGCATGAAAAAATTTTGTAGAAGAGAGCATATAAACAACAAGATACTTTATTCATCTCAATTTAATTTAAACATCCCATCACATGCATAACCCTTACATTATCCACAAATGGCGCTTCGGTTACATTAGCATGCGGAGCAGCCTCTCGTTTCAAAATTTGAAAAATCGAGCAACATGCCCACTCTTGCCGCAAACATAACATGATCTCGGATTTTGTTGATTGTGTTGATGTGCTTGGTTATTATGACCAAAAAATTTCTTGGGAGTTCCACCATTAGTTTTCTTAAAGAATTAATTTCTGTGAGTGGATGCAACATTATTTGATAAAATAGTATACTTTTGTTGTGATGGGTTGTGAAATGCTCTCAACTACTGGCTGCATTAGTGCATCTTGGCTTCTTGCTTCTTGCTCCATTCAAATTCGCATTATTAGTGTCTCGAGAGAAGTTTTCGTTTGCTTGTGGAGTATAGTTTTTTTAAATTCTCGCCATGAAGGTGGGAGCGGAATTCGATAAATCTCCTTCCTCATAATCGATTATATTATCTAAAATCTATGACGATGTCCAATATAATTAATCATAGAAATATTATGGGCACCTATTGAGTGTGATCTATTTCTATGTTCTCTAGTTATATATATCATGGGATCCTATTAATACACAAATTAATCATCCTATATAACAAACATAGAAAAACTAAGAATAATGATAAATTTATCATGTTCAACACAATCATCTATGTTATCTAATTATAGGCCATGATATCACATAAAAACATTTATAACCAAATATAATACACATAGATGAACATGAACATAATAAATTAAATGCAAATTTATGCATGTACAAGTTTCATGTTGTCCAACTATATGTCATGGGTATCACATAAACAAATTAAGCCCAAATATAATAAACATGAATAATACATGCAATCATGCTTATAACAAATATAAACATACATGAACCATAAAACATTAAATAAAGCAATTTAATTTTCCGCTATTATGGTTAAGTTGGGACTCCCGGATTTAGACTCCTTAAAATTAGGAAGTCCAAAAGTCCCCATAAACTCCAGAATTCTCGAATTCCGGGCTGCCCGGAACCGCTGCCCGCTGCCCGATGTCGAGACCCCGCGCAGTTGATAATTCTGGTGTTGTCCTGGAATTTCCAGCCTTGTTCTGAAATTAATATCTCTATCTGTGTAACTCCGATTCACGATCCGAACGGTCGGATGCTACGCCAAGGAGTTAGGAACCTCCGGAAATAATTTCAGCTCGATCCGTCGGTGGATTAGGCCGAGATAACAAAAACGGCACAGTCGCACAAAGAATTCCGAGAACAAAATCTGCTCTATTCTATCTATGTAAATTCTATCTAAAACTCCTCTAGAAAAATTACGAAATATAAAAATATCGTAGGCACACGATATTCCATCAATATCTCGCGATGGAAATGAAAACCGACAAGTAACCACTCACGAGGCAGTGGGATCCATTCACAAAAAAACATAAATAAAATATTCATAACCATAATAGCGGATTTTAAATTCTGCAAAACAAAGTCAGAAACAAAACGCTATATGCAACATATGAATTCTCCGTTTCATGCAACTTTGGACAACATGTGAACCTCAAACGAATTAATCAAAGAAGCTCTGATACCAATTGTTGGGATGTGAAGCCCAGGATTCAATGAAAATTCGCAAGAGGTTCTAGATTAGCCGGTTTTAATTTTATTAACATGCTTTGATTAGATTCGTTTAAAGCGGAATAAATCTAATCTAGCAACTTACAGTTTTCGCGAGCAGATTCGTTTCTATCTTCGGCGCACGAACGAGGATCCACGTCAAGCCTTCTACCTTCGTAAAGGCTGCTGTCCAGAAATTTCCAGTCCTCTTCCTTCACTGATATCTCCGCGACCGTTTAACCGATCGAGAAACCCTCTGGAGAGATGATAGATCCAAGGGTTAGGAAGCTACTGTAAAAATTTCGTGCCTATCCGACTAACGGTTGATTTATGGTGATTTTCTTCGCAGGACTGCTCAGAAAATTTTATGGTGATTTATGAGAATTATAGTTTGCTCTAAAAACCTATAATCTTCTATTGTATATCTCGGATTAATAATTCTTCTACAAGGGTGGACTTGTACTTGAAGAAATCTAAATCTATAATCGAGAAACTTAGAGAGAAAAGAAGAACTGAAAAATATTCTCATCTCCGGAATGTGAATAGGCGTGTGTGCATTCTCTTTTCCTCTCATCAACTCAATCTCTATTATATAGCACAAGGAATTAGAGTCACACATAGAGA